AATACCGGAAATGTCGTGCACTACGATATGCCAATACTCGTTGCCGATTTGCGACGTCGCGTCGATCATTCGACATCGATCCATCTATTGGATTATAAATATTTAATTCCGCGGTGTGCACTGAAAATCTAATTAATTTTTAATTCTGAAATCTTCATTTAGAATCATTGTGGCGAGCTCGAATTTGATCACGATATAGTAATAACGTTATCTAAATTTGATTAAAATAATTGAAGATTAAATCTAACTAAAATCGAATTCTCCCAATTTCAACCGAATTATTAATCAAGTAATTTAATTAAATATGTTTTTGGATGATAGAAATTAACAATGAATTAAGGGATCATTATGCTGGTATATTTTTAGATTCTGTGCACATAAGTGTATTGCAGAGAGTAACAGCTACCAAATATTAAGTGAAATGTTTAATTAATATAATAAAAAAATGTTCAATGTTTAATTAATATAATAAAAAAATGTTACAATAATAATTTTATAGCGAATTTGATTGGAAGCACTAGTGCGCACTGATGCATATTAAAGCCGTTGTACATTGATTTAATTTGAGTATAAAAGTGAAATGCAATATTTTGAATTATAAAATACATATTTTACCTAATAATACAATAAAATGTATGAGTATTTCAGTATTTAATTGATATCTATGTTTATGTATGAACATATCTTTACGTTATTTTATATACGACGACTTTAGTGCGCACTGAGTGCGTCCAATCAAATTTGCTATTAGTTCCTTTAATATTTAATAAGTATTACCAAACATAATAACATAACCAATTGTTTAATAAAATAATTTTTCTTTTCTTAATATTATAATAAATATTATTACTAAACATAATAATATAACCAACCATAATAGTTACTAAATTTGTAGGAAAGTAAATTTATTTTTAGTTATATTAACCGAACATCTGATTGGCATTATTTCATACAACATTTGGTAGCTGTTACCATGTTCTTTTTTTAATATGTATATAACGGTTGTCGAAGCTTCTGACTAATATATAATTTTTCGATCATTACTATTTGTAAAATGAATATTCAATCTATTTTTTAATTTATTTTATAAGTTAGTGAAATTTTTGTTGTTCACTCAATTTAAGAATTTAGTTTAAGAACATTTTAAATACTAGACGAAGTACTAGACTATATTAAAGTACTTGTATACTAGATTTTTATTTATAAAAATTCTTTATCTGAGCAATACAATAAAATTACTCATTGATCGAAAACGTTTGGCAGCCACTGTATATTCGATGTTTGTATCGCAATTTTAAGTTTCTCCATCGAGGTTGACTCGAATTTTTTGCGTGGAGGAAAGTGGATTTTATCGACTGCTTTCAATATCGTCGAGACGATCGCGTGGAGCGATGTCGCACCTGGTTCGCTGCTGCACGTCCGATAAAAGTCTGTCTCTTTCGTAATTTCCGGCTACATTAACGGCATCTCCGGCGCGGCGGTCGCCTCGTCGATCTTCTGATATTCTGATAATCCACGTGATCTCAGACGCCGAAGAAAATTGCCGTTGGTAGTGACAGGCAGTCTCCACCCACGATCGACGATCCGGACTCGCGGTGATGGCTAATTAAAGTGAATTAGGAATTTCCCGTTCGCTATATTCAGGAGATAGGAAACTCTTTGATCAATTTAATATCTACATATATTTTTTCACATTTAAATATGAAACTTTCTATTGTATATTTGGTCGCAATTTATGTAATGAAGCTGAATTTATTGCTTTATTACGTAAATCACATTACTCTTTAATAGATTTTATAATTTGGAGGTAGAAAATAGCCACTAGGAGCTCGTATATTTACTATCTTTTACAGACGTTTTTTTAAAAGTATGTTTGCACGAACAAGCATAAGTCGTTGTCTAAATTCCACTCGGCGAACTTCCTGCTTCGCGCTTACGAGAGACGCCTAACGCGCGCAAAAGTTTCGAAGTTGCATAATGCGCATCCCGATGACACGACAGGATAGATTACGCTCGTAAACCGTTGTGGAAGGAACGCATTACGGTCGTGGGAATCGGGAGGAAGGAACACTTCCACAGGATGACGTTGATATTTATCGGTTCTTTTAATCCCAAACTGGTTGTTAAACTGTTGCGTATGAACGCATTCAACGAAGATTGTCGGTCATAAACTAGTGGTGCTTTATTTAATGATGAGAAATACTCAAAGTTCCTGGATCGTTTGCGAAAGTAGCTCTCGTGAAAGATTCAGGCATCTCTTTAATAAACAGAAATTCTCATGTCTGAAGTGGTTAGAGGTATGGCTTTTTTTCTTAATGTAAATCCTTGCTCGCGTGCACGCGTTTCTCTTTCCCTTCAAAGAAGCATCAAGAAACGTATCGCCCTTTCGGATAAAATCTTCTCGGATAAAAGCGCAGCGCGTACATACGCATCGCTGTAACGACTCCACCAAAATGCCTACGAGCGTAAGATGTAATACCTCAAAATGTGCGGTGAAGCTTATGCGGTGATGCTCGTGCATGTCGGGGAGAGTAACGGATTTTAAGCTACGCGCGCGAGCGTCGCGACGTCGCGAAGACTCGCGTCTTCTGGCACTGTAGGTCGTAAGAAAAGCAAGGAAAAAAATATAAAAATAAAAAAGAGAAATAACGAGGCCGATGGGGACTTGCCGGCGTAATTTTCTCGAGGTAATAAACTAAAAGCATCTCTCCCTAGCTGTGTGCCCTTCTACTGAATCTGCCCATCGTCTACAGGCTCGACTCGCCTCACCTCGCCTCGACTTGATTCACCTCGCAGCTCGGTACAGCGTTGATCTCTCTCTTTCTCTCTCTCTCTCTCTCTCTCTCTCTCTCTCTCTCTCTGTTCGGGAACAAAATTACTTTTACCAGTGGATAGAAGCTCGAAATAATTCGAGGGACGAGCGAGGAAGCGAAGTCGGAGAACTTAGGCAAATTCGCTCGGAGCCCTCCTTGACTTCGTCCTTTAAGTTTCGAAATTGTACACTGCTCGCGTATTAAGGGAAGAGAGCTGGGTTGAGAGATGAGGGATGAAACTGCGCCAGTCCAGATCCCCCTCGAAATAGGATACGAGGAAACGAGGAGTTGTCTCGAAGTTTTCGACTCCCTCGATGACATTGCGCTGTAAAATTAATCGCGCGAAGAGAGAGATTTAGTGATGTGCTTTGTGGATGACGAAGGTATCGTCCCGCGTTAACCAGCCGGTCCGAATTACGACGTACTCTTTGTATCCGCAGTCATTAATTAATCTTTTGAAGACCGGAGCTTTTTAATAAAATAATATGGAAGATCTTGCTTTCTAAGAATTTTCAGGGTGGCTCAATTTTGGCCTTACAATTCTAAAATTCAGATTTCAAAAAACTAATCTGATTATCGTAAAACTCAGTTTTAGGATATTCTTAGTATCACTGAATTTGAATATAACCTGAAAATATTGAATTTCAAAAGTGTAGTATTTCCATAAAGGAAGATATAATGTCTGAATTTGAAAGTCAGTTTGAAAATCAGTACTAACTGCAGTTTACGTAACACTGATGTGCTTCAAATAAAGCAAAACTTGAAACTTAAGATGTTACTTTGCAATTAAAAATTTTCTAAAATCGAGTTTTATAATCAAATTATTTTTTTTAATTTTGTTCGCTATGTTGAATTTATTATTTTAAGTGTTTTATTTTTTATCTCAATTCACATAAGCATTAACAAATTATTTCATAAGCCAAATTTCATAAAAATTGAACAAGCAGTTAATAAAATAAAGACTGTAAACGCGAGGGATCCATAAATGGTTAATCCTGGAGTTAATTAATAATCTCAAAGTTTCTGCCTGAAGAAACGTGATTACTTTCTCAAATAAGACAGACGTATCCCAGATATTCTCATGAATTATTTTAGCCAGGACTTTCGTTATTAGCCACTTTTCTTAGATCGGATTTTCCCTGATATCAACGATAAGGCGTTCTTAGTTTCGGAAACGAGATACTTTCTTGGCTTTGACTTTGTCTTCATTTATCGCGTTGCGTTCCGGCTTCGCTGGAAGTCCACATAGCCAAAGTCGTTGCTCTTGAAGAGAAAGGATTTAAGGGAAGAGATTTGATGTGCCTTGTTATTGATGTTGTCAAGTATCTTTCTGCTTCTTCTCTCTCTCTCTCTCTCTCCCCCCCCTCTTTCCTACTCTTTTTCTCTTTGTTGTGTGCTCCTTAGCGCGATACAATCCGCTGTTTCATCAATTGAATCTTGCAACTTCGTCTACTTACTTTTGTCGCGACCCTGAAGGGGGCTTCAATCTTCTCGAGAGATAGACGGAAATTATACAAAAGGTCGCGCAACAATCAGCCTGTTCTCGGGAGTACGCGAGGAGAGAACGGGAAGAGAGGTAGTCAGTTGCAGACGCGAAAGTTTTCGAATTCCGGATAACGAGATGTTGATTCGCAACTTCTTACCGCGGCTGGTAGTATAATACCCAGGGTAGGAGGTAGGAGGGAGAGCAAACCTTACTCGACTAGCTGCAACGTCCTCGCTAATCTACGTCGCCGAATGGAACCTCAGCTCGCTCGACACAGGAAAGATGCTCTTAGGTACTTTCCGGAAAATGCGAGCGCTATAGTAATTTGTCTTTCGGCTGCACGAGATGTTATTAAAGCGGAAGTAGTCGCAGACATGCAACTGCAAATGCGCGACGAGTAAAGCCGTTTTCTTATTGCTGCTCTCGCTTCCAATTCTATTTTATCATTTGTATTATTTTTTATAATTTTTTATCGACATACGGATAAGAAAACGAGATTCTTCCATCATTTATTATTTTTGCTGCAAATTTCCTACGTTGAATTGATTTTGTTGAAAATAATTGTATATAATCTTGAGTTATAAAATAATAACCTATAAAGTAATACATTAATATTTAATACGTATTATCTTAAATTTAGAATAAAAATAATATATTCTCTGGCTCTATATTTTTTTTATATTTTTTAGCGATTCTATAATAGATCATCTAATCAAACAATTTTCTAATATGTTTAAAGTTATTGACATTTTTCTCAAATTAATTCAGATATTGATTTTTAAATTATTTTATTTAATAATGCAGAATCTCTGAAAAATATAGAGAAAGAGAATCAATGATAAATATGTATATTGTTTCTACTTTAAATTTAAGATAAACATATTGTAAATATTAATTTATTATTTTATAATTTATTATTTTGTAATTTAGGATCAAATGTGATTACTTGAAATAAAATCGTAGGAAATTTGCTGCGAAAATGATAAACGATCAAAGAATTTCGTCTTCTCATCTTTTTAATATGTTTCAAATTACTGACATTTTTCTCAAATACCTTCAAATATCGGCTTTTACGGTTTTTAAGTATAAACCTGAAAGGATAGAGGATTTTTTAATCATTTATCATTTTCGCTGCCTCACAATTTTATTGAAATTAGTTATATTTAATAAATTATAAAATAGTAAGTTATAGATGCGTTAATATTTAATATATATTATCTTAAATTTCAAATAGAAAATCTATTTATCACTGATTCTATATTTTTCATACAATTTTCAGCAATTCTGGACCGTCGAATTAATCAAATAATCTTCATTACTGACATTTTTCTCAAATATCTCGAATATCGTCTTTCAAGTAAAAACGGCTTTTAATTGAAAATCGAATTTAATTAAAAATTACGAGTCACAATTAATTAGATGATTATGTAAATATTTTACGATTTTCGCTGCTACTTTCACTTCCGACAGAGTACCATAATTTCTTCTTTTCAGGGTGAGTGAATTAGTAGCTGTAATATAATAATATTGTTGTATTCTCGTTCTGTTGTGGCGTAGGATAATTATATTTATTTGACCGTAAACTTGAATTCCTTCCCTCCGCGATTCCAATGCTCACACATACGAGTATATACATACAACCGCAGCTTTATATTCAATTCTTTTTATTGCCGTCGTTTCTCAATGTGTCTTCCGCCGGCATTAATGCGAGGAATACTGTTCCTCCTGGTGTGCCGCTTTTTAAAACGTACTTACGAAACCGTATCCCTCTTATGAAGAACCGCCGAGATCGCCGAGTTACATGGCGCGTTAACTTTGAATAACCCGTAAAACGTCATTTCTCTCCGAATCTTTATTCGTTGCGATGAATTTCCAAGGATAAAAGCCGCGCATGAACGAATGTCACGACAACAGTCGTTAAATTCCCGTGGCCAGCAATGACGTTTAATCGTCGTGTAAGACCATGATAGACGGACATTAAACGCGTGAGTGCGTTCGCGATTGTTGCAATTATTCGAGCGGATTACCGACCACTCATATTAAATACAATGGGATTCGAGTCGTCTGATTTGTGAAAATGTAAAAAGGGAGACGAGCACGTTCTTTCATTCTGAACTTACAAAGATATATTGCATGCGTTTAGCGTTAAGCTCCATTATTCATTATTTTACAATTAAATATAACTGTTTTCGAGAAAATTACAGAAAATTCGCAGTGAGAATGATAAACGGCTGAAGAATCTTGTCTCACGATCCACGACTGTTAAAAAAAATTGTGAAGGATAATGCACCATGAAATTCGCATCCGTGCGCCTTGCGCGCGCCGTGCGTCCCGAAGATATTCATCTTCCCTATTCACTTTCATCTTCGTTGAATTAACCTTCTCGCGGAATCCATTAAGCGCATCCAAAACGACGTCCATAGACTCGTCGCTTAATGGACGGATGCGGACGTGTAATGGATGTTGTTGGTTCTATTTTCTCTCGGTGGGCATGAGAGAAACGGAAGAAGAAAAAGATGTGTGTGTGTGTGTGTGTGTGCGTGCGCGACGCCCTTTTGCATCTCTTCG